GTAGGCACCGATCTTTGTTTCTCTGTGTGTATGAGTTGCTCTGTGGTCCAGGCTGCCTTTAAAATAATGTACCTTTTTGTTGTGGCCATGAGCAGTGGAATCTGGGCATTCCACATCCCTGAAAGATGCTAATTAATCTTTCTAGCCCTCGTAGCTGGAGAGCTAAGCCTTGCTAGGACTTGACAAGAGATAAATGTTTTCACTTTTTTTGATAAGTTTCTTAGTTTTGACTTTCTGAAGTTTCCGTTAGGAGGGATGGCATTGAAAGAAGTCACCTCGTGGCTCTTCTAAAGCTCCATAATTGTGTGATCAAACACTTGCAGTTACCTTCCTCTGCTTTCCTTCTTTTGATTTATAGAACTGAGATGCATTTGCTTTGTCAAGCTGCAGCATAAAATAACTGCTCGAAGTAAATGCTCTCTGTTTTCTGCTGTAACGGGTTTGTGGCTTTGATTAAGATTCCTGTTTACAGGCCAGCCTGGTAGCTTAGCCAACTATTGTTATCATTAACATGCTGACCCTCGGCGATACCACGGGAGAGTGTTTCTCCCTGCTGAGGATGGCAGTTTGCATTGTTCAGGTAGTCAGATGTAATGATGCATTTGAACAGGGTGTGTGTGAGGGGGAGGCTTGAGTAATCCCATCTCTTGGTGAAGTGGAGTGGGAAAGTGATGGTGGTACTAATTATTTTTTTTTTGGTCTGCACCTTTCACTCGGGGTCAAGTTGCATAATGAGCCCCCTCCTGTAGTAAAAGTGATATTTGTCCACTGAAGGAGGGTGGTTTCCTGCTTAAAATCCTTCTGGGGGATTTTTCGCAGTGCTTGTTTTCACTGCACATAAGTTCAGATGATGCAAAAAGTCTAAGCAAAGACTTTCTCAGCTCCTTCCCCCTTTGCTGGGCACGCAGAGTTTTCTGGGAGAATGGTTGTGTGGAAAGAGCAGATGAAGCAAGAGGGAGGAAGAGGATGTTCCTAGAGGGTTTTGTGGCTGATGACAACATCCAGACTTCATGTTTGGTGTGCCGTAGCACCCCCAGACCCTCCGGAGGGCTCTGGCCCTGTTAGGCACTCACACATGCACAAGACAGGAGACGCCCACCCCTGGGAGGCAGGTCTGCCTGGATGCCAAGTAATAATACCTACATACAGGAAAAGAGAAGGAAATACAGAACGAGAAAAGCATGACCAACTTTTTTTCTGTCAAAATGTGCTTAAATTCCCTCAAGCTTTTTTTTTTTTTTTCTTTCTAATGCAATGTTTTTTTCTGTTTGCAAAACATAGTTTGAAATGTTCTTTGCTCTCAGAAGTTCTTGGATCCTTGATGATTTCGGGCACTTATTGCTGCATTTCAAAACATTAGTTGCAATGTTAATGTAAATAGATTACTTCAGTGAAGAAATGTGGGGAGGTTATTGGCGTTTTCCGGTAGATAAGAAAATATAGATCTCGTATGTGTAGCACAGCTAGTGATCACAGTCTCCTCATCTCAGGAAGGTGTCTACTAGCCGGTAGGAAAGAAGCGCTCTAGTTTTTTCCCCCATCATGGAGGGAAAGGGGGAATGTTATCCATGGTGATGATTTGCAGATATTTTGCACGGTCTTTCTTGGGTTCTCTAGTATAACCAGAATTTCCTAGAGGTTTAAATCTTGGTTTTGCACTGAAGATCCAGCAGTTATGAGATCATTAAAGTGTACGGTGCGGTTTCTAGTGTAGACAAGGTAACTTTTCCCAATAAATGCCTGGCCCCTCCTCCACAAGCTGCAAAGCAAAAATGACAAGTACTGTAATGTTGAAATTGGATCCAAAGGGATTTAGCAAACTGAGCATTTGCCATATTTAGCATCATCAAAGTTCCTTCCTCTCATACTTCAATGATGCTTTGCTGATCTTCTGATTAGTCTGATATGCTGTTTCTCTTAAATCACCTACACTACTATTCCTAAACCCTCCCCCTTTATCTCTTCTGGGTGAAATTTGTGCATATAATTTAACACTCCTAAATTGACTGTGGAGTAAAAAAAAGATAAAGCTAAAATGTACATTTGGTCTGTATCAGGCTCTGCCATTGATTTGCTGAGGAATCTGTGATACTGTGTTCCTTTCCCTGCACATTGGAACTGACAGCTTGTAGCAAAGTCAAATAAGATGTTCAACAAACCACATGTCCTATCGGTTTTAGCTTTGCCATTGTACCCTTGTGGCGGTGAGCCAGAGAAAGATACAACGCCTCCTCCAGCGTGATGCAACTTTGCCTGTGTTTTGTGAGCACACGTGTGTATGTGTGTAGCCGGTTCCACATTTCTCTCTCTTGCAGTAGGGTTAGCTGGAGAAACCTGTGATGAGCTGCACTGAGCAATTTGAAACTGAGTTTTGAAAGGGGGGAAAAAAGAACTTTTTTTTTAAATTTTTTGTGAAAGGTGAGGATGCTTCTCTTCTCTGGGGCAGTTCTTCCAGAGAGGTAGAAGGTGGGTTGTCCTGGTGAATGAAAGTCACAAATGTCAGTGTCCCAGCACAAATGCCGAAGTTGGTGAGAACGAGAGGACAGCTTGCTGTGCCACTTGGTATCTGGCTCATCTGTGGTGTTGCCATAGGCTTTTGAATGCCAGCTGCAATAATTAAAGTCAGCAATTGTTGCTATGCATTAAAAGAAAAAAAATCCAAAATAATTTTATAACTCTCTCAAAATCCATCCTAACACAGATCATCAGAGCTCACAGTTGTGACTGTGGCAGGATGATTTCCAGCAAGAGGGACACCATGCTGTGAGTTAAAATAAAAATATGGTTAAAACCAAGTAAGATTTTTTTTTTTTTACGTACTTACAACAAGCAAAAGAAATTGGCCTGAGGCCAATACCTGGATTTTAGCCTTGCTTTGGCTCCCGCCACTTCTCCATCGTCCTTGTTCCCTGGCATTTTTTTGCAGTTACCATCGTTCTCCGTGTATTCATGTCTCTGTGCACAATGCCCGTTCCTTTTCCTTGCAGGCATTTACCGACTCAGTTCTGAAGTCTCAGGGTCTCTCTGTGTTAGCGATTTCACTCTCTGCCCTCCTGCCTACTCCTTACGCTCGCCACGCTCCTCTGCGTAGCGAGCAAATGAGCACCAAAGCAAGCCCCTGCACACGCCGTCTTTCTGAGTTGAGCCTGCCTGCTGCTTCACGGTAACTCGCCCGATTTTCAGACGTAGTTATTGAGATTGATCACAATAGCGAAGCGTCTGCCAAGCTGCGTTATTTGCACAAATACACTATGCAGTTTTTGGTACAGTGGGGCTTGACGCAATGATTGCCTCTTTTCATAGCGCTAGTTAACGGCACGTGTCGTCATTTCGAAGGGGGAGAAAACCATTTTTAAGAACTTAGCTCTGCTTTTGGCAGGGGAAAACCATACTAGTGGGAAAAACCTAATTAAGACCAGTTGTACTCAAGTCTTAGCAGAATGTTTAACTTAAGGCACTCTGAGTTAGTCCCATAAAAATCAATGAGATTATGTAAAACAATTCAGATAACACCACCTGTGAAATCTAAGTAATAACCCAGTCACGTAAGCGGCCTACGAACCCTTGAGAGGAACGCTGGCTGCCAAAATTTTCAGAAGTGATGATGGTTTTAGGCCAATTCCATTTTGGGATGCTCAACTGGAGATCTATTAATGAGAGCCACTTTGTCAGGAGGTCCTCGACGGTCCATTCCCTGAAAGTGAAGTGTGCCCAGCACTGCATCCAAAAATTAAGACATCCTAAATTATGGAAAATTCTGGCCTCTTGTGCTTATTTTAGGAACCTGTATTCTTCCCCAGTTTAATCTGCAGGATTCATCTTGAACTGAATTGTTGTTCGTCACAAACCCGACTCTTATTTAACGTAAAACCACTTACAAGTGATTTTGTGATACCCAGGCACTGTGAAGTACCATTTATAACCACCCTAGTACTCCTTTGCACAACCAGAGCAGTGCAGAGTGGCCTCAAGAGAAGTGAAAATCAAGCCCGCAGCTTGCTAACTTCCATCTCGGAGATTGCTCTTCCCGTACAAACTGCTCCGCCGAGGCGGTCTCTGTGCTTCTGGTGGTACCAGCAGTGGGCACAGCCTAGTGGGACAGTTGTTTGTTTCAGTATTAAACTCCTTGCATTTTTTTTTTCCCTCAGTTCCTCCTTCAAGGGCTTTATTGTTGTAGTGTTTCAACATCGTTCTCAGCATTCTTAAAGACAAAGTCGGAAGGCCTCTCTCTGGTGATCTGCAGCAAGGAGAATAAAGCTGCTTTGGCAATTTCAGAATAGCAAATGTAACTGTCCCGATTCCTCTAAAGAAAAAAATGAAACATAAGTGTCTAGATTGAACTTCTTTTTCACTTGAAAATCATGGTTTCAGGAAATTTAATTGATGCCCTCAGGCCTTTTTCCTTTTTTTTTTTTTTTTAAATTTTGAAGGGAGTCTCTTGTGAGACAGCAGAGCTTTCCTTGAAATTGCACGGGAAGTGAACCCGGTTTGTAAATCAAGTAACAAAATCCACGGCTTGCAGTAGAAGGTTCGTGCGTTGCACGTATCAATTAATGCTTACCAATCAGTTTTTGCAGTTAGTCAAACTGCAGAGTGTAGTTGGAAGCTATTAGGGAGAGAATCGCGAGAGGAATACTGTTGCAGGACTTCACTCGTTTTTTTCTGTTTGTGTCCTTTGGATTCAAGGTGTTTGTATAATGAAGTTGGCACGTTGATATATGATCTATTTTTTAATGTCATTACAATTTTAGTTCCCTCTGCCTTTTTGTCATTGGGTTACATTTAAGCACAGCAAGATCAACTTTAAACTTCCTTACTCAACAGCTTTATTAGTTATAACGTACCGTGACCTTTCTCAACATTCTTAAAGAAAAAGATACAGAGTAATGTCACTTTACTTTGCTTATTGTTCTTTGTTGTGGTGAACAAAGCATTTTCTACAGTGGCTATAGCACATAATTATACAGCTTTCAATAGCGGTGTCTTGGCACATATCAAAG